ATGCTCGCGAAGCTGCTGATGAGACCTTCAATTTGCACCGCTTCTTGGAATAGCCCGTCCCCTACTTGCCAAGAAATGGCAAGAGGCGTCTGGACCCGAAATTTCAATTTTTTTGGCTCTCGCTCTCAATCAGATACTTCGCTCTCAATCAGGCGAATATGTTGTTCATCGTGTTCGTCTGGTCAAACCCCGCCGTTAGCAACCAAGAACAAAAAAAAAACGACATGATTATGAAAGCGTTTGGCGAGATACTGGCCGAAACGTTTCATCCCCTCCTCCCAAAAAGCGCCTGGAAAAACCTATACGAAAACCACGAATTCTCAGGAACGTCTTAAATCGATTTGGTCCCCGAACAACTATTGTGGCATTTGCGACGGAGATAAACACTAAAAAAAAATAAAATGAAAAAAAGTTAATATTGATGAAGTTATGGCCGGTCAACTAAAATCGGCGGGACAATCGTTGGAACTGTATGTACGCTTGTTTGTTCCTCCCAATCTTAGGTTGTGCGTGCTGCAGTTCTTGCAGGCTTCGCACGTGTGCAAGGGGTACGCGCCCTGGCACCGGTTGGATGCGGTACGCGCCTGGCTTCACCGACAGACGAGCGCGGGCGTTGTGCGTGCGGAGTTATTCAAAAAAGTGGTTCTGTAGAGTGGGGTTTAGGAGGCGTTTCTTACAGGCGCCATGCTCTCGTTCGTCTGTACAGGTGCAAATTTTCCGGGCGCAAGTGGTGGGTAGTGGGGGTTCCGTGAAATGACCAATCCAACACCATCCAACTTTGTTAGTACACAATCACGCAAAATCCACACCCCGCCCCAGGGAACAGACGAGATCAACCATATCCTTGAACGACAATCCGGACAAACGAGTGATGATGCGGGGAACTCGAGCCCTTCAACCTACATTTTTACTTGTCTTTGTTCCACACTGTAGGTTTGCACGTCATGTTGCCTCAAATCAACAAATAGTTCTAGATACCTTCCGACGTGTCGCCGCTAATATTCGTACTGGTCAAACCTGACCCAGATGCCTTCTGTGATCACAGGCTACGTAGCTACTTCCCAAACAGGAACGATCAGCAAGATATTGTTCGTACTGACTTGTTTCTTCCGTGTGCAATGAGGCCTTGTTGTGCCACCCGCTGACAAAGTAGCCGCGCCTCAAGACGGTGAGACCCTACATGTGCGAGTGATGAGTGGAAGAATTATGTCCCGCCTCAGCGGCCGTGTTTTTAACACGAGCCGATCGTTCGGCTAGCGGCGCTCTGAACGTATGAACCACGACGAAAGCAGTGGTGAAGGACTGCAGGGTCGAAAAAAAACTTGTAGTTAACCTCGAATTGACCATCCATGTCGTTAACCTCAAATCGACCTGTCACGGCAATTACGATCCTGTATCTTTCTCACGACATCACATCTGATCGAGACCAGCGTCAACACCACCCAAAACAAATGAGCAAAAGTACACGGTTACTGACGTTCGAACCGGACGCTCGGAATGATTGTTCACGCCGCCGCTACAGGAAGCATAAACTTGTGGATACACACATATCGGAGGTGCCATCGAACACTCACTAAAAAATATGACAAGCACTAGGAAAGAACACGGCAAATCACCTTGAGGTACAAGACCATTCCTCGCAAGGCAATGCGGACGACTAGGGCTATTGTTGCGAGATTCTGCAAATCTCATCCACTCATGCTTGTCAGCTCGAAATATCAACACGAGACGAAAACAGCACGCCAATCCGCGGTTTTCACCATCATTTCTATCTCACCTCTCTGCAGCGAAAAAAAACAAGTAGGAGAGAGCGACAAACAACAGGACCACAGGCAAAGCGTCAAGTAGGCCACGTCGAGCGACACAAAGGACCAAGTTGCTAAGCCAGAATCTGCGCAAAGTTGACATCCACCCAGGCGTGAGACAGAATGAAAGGGCCGAGTGCCAAGCTCCAACTCTGCAAAGAAACGTTTCCCACGATGGGTTAAACACAAGGTACAAAGCAACAGCTCACAACTGTGCGACCGCTTGTCGCAAACCTTCATCAAGATCGAAACTTTCGTCGCACGCTGGGCTTTGTTTCCACAACTACCTGAGAAAACGAGTCTACCAAACCTTGTCCACCAAGACGGTGGAAACCCCCCGCTCTACCTCTACCAATTCACGGCCAAACCCCACACGGTACGGCACGACCGTAAACGAAGTTTACGGTACCAGTCTATACCTTCTGAAAAAACTACGTGCGTACAGCCATCTCAAGACACCACAGCCTTCCCCGTGCGTCTTCGTATTGAGCTCTGCCCGCCGACGCCATCCCCTATACTGCTATCATCCGGGCCTACCGCCGCAGCACATGCCGCTTCATGCCCCACATCGCCACCACCACCATCCTTGCCCTCGGCCGAAGGCCCCCGGCCGCCGCCCTCCCCCGCTCGGCATCCAGCGCTGCTTCCCAGGAGCTTGGCCTTGTGGCGGTCGGGAGCCGGGAGCAGGAGCGCCAGGCGGCCCCACGGGTGCCCCTGGAACTGCTTCCGCAGGTAGGTATGGTACAGCGTCTTCTCCGCGTAACCAGCCTCCACGGCCGGTAGGTCCATGGCCTCGCAGAAGATCCGCTGCACGGCCTTAGCGTACAGCGTCCGGTCGGCCCTCTGCTCCGGCGTGGGAACGAAGCAGGGAAGGTACTCCACGGTTACGTGGTGCGCCGGTTCCGCGAGCGAGCGGAAGGCGTGCACGGGGAAGTAGATGCTGCGAGGACAAGCGTGTGGCGAGTTGCAAAAGAAGAGGCGGGTGGCTTCAGATAGGTGTTCTATGCCGATACGGTTAGCCTACAGCTGTGCGGCGAGTGGCTGCGTTCAGTCCTCGGACCGCAGAAAACGCTTGCAGATGGTGACAGCCTGGCAGGACCAACTGATTGCCGCGTGTTTCGAGCGACGGTCCCCCAACATTTCTCGACATGAAAAGCAAAACGACGGCACACGTCCTCTTCTTGTCCACGTGTGATCAGAGGCCTGCTGTTTCTAACATCCGTTGCCACTGGATGTGAGGGGGGCGGTGATGACGAAAGTGATCACCCCGTGGGGGGTGCGGCGAGCCACAGAATTAAGGTTGGGGAAGGCGAGTTTCCTGCCTTCGGGACAAGTTCCGACAATGAACACAACGAACTTTACAATTCCCACGCACGTGTTGCAGCCCGGTTGAGCGGTTCGACGCATGAACCTTGAGGCAGTTCGCGGCCCGGCGAAGTACCCTACCTGAGCCTGACGACACCCGTGTCAGTTCTATCTTCGATACACAGCGTACGCGTGGATAAAAACTCCAGACCTCTCATGAATTCATCGCGGTCGAAACATCCAGGGGGTTGCGGCCTACCCGCTGTTGCTGTGCATACCTTTCGAAAGCCGGGGAGAACCGGCGGGCCTCGTACTTGACCGTCACCGGGTGAACGGGCACGCCGCCCGCGAACACGCCCGTCTTGAAGCGCAGCAGGCAGCTGCCGTTGGAGGTGGTGCCCTCCGGGAACAGGAGCAGGGGATTGCCCCTCCACCCTCTCGCCCAGTTCTCCTCGGCTACCGTTGGCTTCGACTTCGCGGCGCCGTCCCTGTTGGACGACAGCAATTCCCCTTCCGGCGCCGGCTCCTGCTGCTGCAAGGCGGCTGTGGGGAAGATGCCCCCATTCGCGAGGGCCTCCTTGCCGAACATGCGCAACAGGCGAGTGGCGATCGCTTGCGAACCGCTCCCACCCGCCTTCCCGCCCTTGTTGTCCACCGGAACACAGTCCACGATTCGGGCGGCGATGCCTCCGATGAGCGGGACTTGCAGGCAGCTGTACTTGCACGAGAGATCGGTGCAGCGGGGTGAGGGACAAGAGCGACAGCAGGGAAGGGGGAAGGGGGGGGGGGCACAGTGGAGGGCACCAGGGTTGGTTGAAAGTGCGATAGGCTACGCTAGATTCATTCAGGCCCTGGATGCCATTCAGACCCCTAATGTTCTTGTTCGTGGCAATGGAAAGTGCCGTGCATAAAAAAAAAGCATTGTTTTGGGAAATGGGAATTGGTCGAAACACCCTGCACATCCTTGGGCAGCACATGGCATGCATTGAAACCTTGAGAGAGGAAACGCTACCAGTAACTGAAATACACATGGCGCCCCTACCATTGCACCCTCTCATTTGGCACGAGACTAGTTTCTTATTCCGCTTTGAGGTAACCAAACAGCGACAGTAACCGTTTTGGCGTTGGAGACTTGACTGCACACCTTAATATATTTTTTTATAAGGTAATCTTCTGAAATGCCCCAATGCACAAATCCCTGGTGCTTGAGCGGTGGTGCATTCTGAAGCGGGAATAAGGGGTTGTTCGGCGTGCGAACCTAAGCGCAAGGTCTGTGTGCACCCGTACAGAAACAAAACTTGCCCTGGTGAAAAATGACACCAGCAAAATGCCACGACAGCGGAAGAACCAACCAACATGCTGTGCATACAATACACTAGCTCATGTCCATTTGGGACCTGCCGATCGCTAGATTCCTCAATCCGTCGTGATCGTGACTTGCTAATCCCTTCAGAAAAACACTTCCGTCGTGATAGTGACTCGCAAATCCCTCCAAACAAACACTTGGATGTCCGACAGAAATTCTGCCGCCCAGCAGTAGTGCTCGACCAATGCTGTGTACTGCATGGTTGTTGTATTACAGACAACAATCGAGCCCACAGCAGCAGAGAGCCAAAGGCAATTCTATCGCGAGCGGCGATTCCTAGACTTGTGAGGTAGGGTGGACCACGAAACACGCTACTCTACAATTTCTGAACGTGGTGTCTACTTCTGTTGTTACGAAGTTGAGAGTAGGTGAGTTTGAAAAGATAATAACCCCTTCGAACAAGAAATGTTGTGTTGGTTACTCAGAGGAAATAACCACCGGGGTTGCATCATGTATGTGGTGCCATGCTCTGTATCGTGGGCAGCAGCCAGAAAACGCTTTGCGAGCTGAATATAGCAACATCCAGGGACTCTAACCACGAATACTTACTATTCCGTGTTCCATCCGCCCAAGTACTGCGGCAAGCACGCAGCCTATCTGCAAATAAATGCGAAATGCCCAACATCCAACGGCGAGCTAGGGCGCCCGTTCCCATCGATTGCATTCGGTTACCAAATCAAATTTCAAAACTTGCAGCATCTGTATGCAACAGGGCACCGTCAACCCTTTCACGCTAAAAAATGGAAGGCCATGACAGAGTGGAGTTGAGGGCTGCCACCGGTTACTTGGTGTGTCTTGCCACTTTGGCAGGAGCTTACGCATACAACAGAGCGGTCGGCTGGACTGGAAGGAAGAACTTCTTTCAAAGGACGAGAACCCGGCGGAGACGTGAGCCGACGTATTGGTGCTTCAGGGGTGGCGGAACGTCCATTATTGTGGTCTGGTGCGTCAAGCATTCATCGCAAGGTGAAGACTAGTCTGTGCTGCCCACAATAGGCGGCATGCAAGCGCACCCAACACACACACTACCAATGCTGTACACCACATGCTGCTGCTGTGAATCTCACGTTCGTTTCATGACGAACGACGGCCCGAGCTGATGCAAGAAGACGAGCACTTCGATGAAGCTGATGTGGTTTGACACGAACACTCGCGGTTGCCCCCTTCGCCCCGCATTCTCCTCCATCCCTTTGACGTCCACGGTCCAGTAGCCGAGGAGCAGCAGCAGGAAACGCGACGCCCATCGAACGCAGAAGATGCTGATCGCATGTGCCCAGGGCCGATCAGGAGCGACCGTCATGAAGGACAGGGCGAGGACGTAATAGCTCGAAAGGAACACCGCGATGAGCGCCACGCGCACGGGGACAATGGTGATGGCACAAAGGGCAAGGCGGGCCAGCTCGAAGGAGTCCGGGTTCGGGTCAAGCCGCCGAAAGGGTCCTTCGATGTCGCGCTTCCAAAGCTCTGACCCGACGGGCTGCTGCTGGGCAGGTGCCGGTGTCGTTACAGGCGTCTTCGCCGATGCTGGTGGTTGCAGCTGGTAAGGAGACATTGGTACTTCACAAGGACCCTTGTTCAGAGTTGTTGCACTGCCGTGGGTGCTGGACTGACTGTCATTGGGGCCACAAGAGCAATCGCTACCAGCGGTTGGCACGGCTGATTTGGTGAGGTAGATTCTCCGTCTCCGGAATCCGGCATGTCCAGGCGCAACAAACCGGGGCAAACGGGCTGTGCGGTGCAACTACAACTTCCCGAGAGGGGGCCCGCCGTTTTAAGGAACCTGTGCCGATAGCCCCTCCTGTCGAAACCCGGCTGCAGGTCAGGGTGCCGTGACAAAGGTGAGGTCGCTCCACGCTCGTCGCACCAGCCAGCATTGGCCAACAGCTAGATCGGTGTAGCGAGCGAAAGGACCAACCTCTCAGGTGCGTCCCGGTGTTTGTTCTGGGCAGGAGTGTAAAAGTGGGTTCATCCTTTGCAGCCACTCACTGTTGAAAAATCAGATTCAATATTCGCTTACCGCAGCACTGAAGATTTGCAGCTGTGTGTGGACTAACATCCAGTATGTACCACACTTGTACAGTACAGCAGCAATACTTCCCACTCACTGTAAAGCCTTCAACATCCCCTTCGACTAGTTGTGTTACATCGTGAGTGGGTAGTCGTCATTTGATTATATGTATGCATATATTTTTTGTTTTCTAAGAAATAGTACTCCGAAATGACCCCGGAGTTAAGCCGCCGGTACACCACGTGACAGGAAGTTTTGCGAAGACCTGCAGTGCGCAGTGTGTGCAGGATGGAGGGGGTGGACGACGAAGAGAACGCTAACCTTCTCCAATTCGGCCCGGAGCATGCCAAAGACGACATGTCATGCTTGTCGAACGCGGAGGTGTCTGTGGTGCTCGAAAAGCAGAGGATCAACTACGAAGAGAAGGACATCAACGTCACACCGTAAGTCAACTATTGTACGTAAATGCCGAGGTTCAGGGGCCTGGGGGTGTCCCTTTGGGTGTACAAAACTACATGACAAAGTGAGAAGAGGGGGGCGTTGGTTAGATGGTTGCATGCATAGGTGTCACGGGAACATCCCCATGTGTAGGCGCGATTCGGAGCGCCGAATGGTGTGTTCTTGTAGTCGAAGTCCAATTCAAGTCTACATGTACGTACAGCTGTGTACAATGTAGTCCCAAGCGATCCGCCTTGCGGTGCGTGTTTCTGTTGTGTATCTTCTTGGCATTCGGGGAAGGGGGCGGGTACTCATAGTCGTGCATGCCCTGTCGTTAGACCATTGACCTCGCATCCCTACAAAGCCGGGACGGAGCACGCCGGGTTCTCACCGGACCAGGCTCTCACATCACCAAGCGCGAAGCGCCGTGAGATATTCGGCGAGTCGCATGAAGGGTGCGCTGCATCCTGCTAAGGGTTTTCGGCATCTTGTGCTTACTTCCTTGCGTACGGGTGACAGCTGCGTATGACTTAATTTATTTTCTAGTGCTTTCACTTCCGGAGACAGTTGTAAGCACTGTACAACTGCCTCGGGGGTGCTTGACAAATTTAACACAACGTGGTGCGATCATCCCCCTTGCGCGGAGTGAGGGTTCTCCACCCCGCACAACATGATCTACTCGACCACCATTATGGTTACCGCCAAAAAAAAATCAGAGGTAAAAAAAAAAACGGTAATCTGATTGCCAAGCGACGAAAACCCAATCCCGATGGCAAACACCGAGGGGGGGGCTTGTTTCACAAAGTCGTTGCCACGCGACGAAAACCCAACCCCGATGGCAAAACACCGGGGGGGGGGGGGGGGGGGGGGGGGGGGGTGTACTCATAGTCGTGCATGCCGTAGTCGTTAGACCATTGACCTCGCATCCCTAC